TCATTTTTTCATCCATCTACCGTTAGAAAAATTGAAAGGGGAGGTATTAAAAAGAGATTTTGGTGAAAGTATATAGATTAAAGTGAGATTTTAATAAAAGTGTAAAGATGCTAATGAGATAACAAAAAATGTCACACATGTTTTAAATGACAGACGGATATAAAGAAAGATTACAACTTGACTAGTGCTCGCGGGTTGGATCAGATGACCTCTCATCTGTCTGAACTTAAGCAGAACTTAAGCAGTTTGATTTTGGATTTGTTCGCTTAGTTAGTGGATGCAAATTGAATGGGTTGTGCAGGTGGATGCGGATCAGTTTGGCGATTTGGCTTTACTATTTTAGGCCTTATTTTGAACCATTTTTCAGTAATTATTTACTATATTGAGCTCAAAATTTTTTATTCTTGATTTTTTATAATAAAAATAAAGCCCCAATTTTCATATTTTATAAATAGAAATATAATTATTAAATAAAAGGTCTTTTTTTAATATACAAAGGATAAAAGTATAATATTATTTTCTTAGGGGTGTTGGCGGATCAAGTTAGGTTCGGTGTCGTCCCATCTAACATCCATCTGAACTTAGGCGGATTGAAAAAAATACATTCACATCGTCTGCTCAGACCATTGAAACTGACCATTATGTGATGGATTGGTTTTGGCCATTTAGTATGGCGGGTAGAATGGATGCTTTGCCCATCCTTAACTTAAAATGTATAAAAGTTGATTGGTACAATTAAAAGTGAAGGGATCAAAATAAGATTTTAATAAAAATGCAAGACAACTAAGTGTTATTAATCCTTTGTATTAATTAATAAATTAAATCCTCGAGAGCCATCGTCAAAATGGTCATCATTTGCGTCACATTGTTTCCCATAATTTGATTATATTAATTTAAGATTTTTACAAAACTGTTTTTGTTATATTTAATGTTTGAATCTCTAACTGCTCTTTTTGAGTCTCCCTGTTCCACGGTTCATCTCCCCCATCCATTCCACCAACATAATCCATTTTTAATTTCTTGAAAGCGTCAGTCATTTTGTTCTTATTATTTTTAATTTTTTTTTGAGAGTTGTAACCTTAGCAACTTTTAACTTATATTGAAATTCAACACCCATGTAACAAAATGGTAAACATAAGATTAATTAAAGTTACGTTGATACTTACGTATATTTGCATGTCTAGGACTGTTTTTGAAATCGACAGTAGGGGAATTTAGGTTTGAAATCGGTGTAAAATCGACTGTGTTCTATCCAATCAAAAGCGGTTAAATAAGTATGGCGAGTGGTAGGCTCCGTTTGTTTTGACGTAAAAATATTTTACTTATTTTTTGTTGTGTGGTTGAACAAAAAAGAAAGTAAAATATTTTTGTATCATTTTTCAAAATATAACTTACTTTTAAAAATTCTTTAATAGTGTGTTTGGTTAGGGGATTTGAGGAGGGATTTAGAAAGGGAAATGAAAAAGGTAGGTGAAATGTGAATAAAATATATCTATATTTCACTTAGCTTCACACACTTTTTCATTTTCTATTTCTAAATCCCTTTCCAAATTCTCCAACTAAACAGAGCATAAGTCAATACATCGAAATTATAACCTTTTCAATACATTTAACATTTTCAAATTAGTATCTTAACTCACTAAAAAATTATAAATAACAAAATTTTTTTTTTGATCAGCCAAAAAAAGAACTTTATTGAATAAATGACACTTTATCGAATCAAAATTTCATTTTAGGTAATAAAATGTTTTTGTTTCAAGTACCAACCAAACATCGAAAAACAAAAACAATAATATTTTTTTGCATAAAATAGTTTCCGTCAAAACAAACCAAACTGCAATCTCAAACGTTTTACTAGTGTTTTTTGGATAGGACTATAAACAAGTTGAGTATAGCTAAGTAATTTAAATTTATGCTCTAATTGTTTTGGCAGAAAATATTTATTTAAAAAAAATTTCTTTTTTTTTTTATGTAGAAAAGTTTTTTCATTTTTTTTTTAATAGAAAAGATTTTCTTATATTTAGTTGCGTTTGTGAAAACAATGTACTAATAGTTGCATTAGTGGTGGTAGTAGTGGCAGTAGCAGAGTGGAAGTAGAGGTGGAGGTGTTGGGTGGCAACGGCGGTAGTGGTGGTGATAACGGGAAGGAGGTGGTAGTGGCGGTGGCTGTGTGGCGGTGGAGACAACAATGATGATGGTGGTTGTGGCTGTGGTGGTTGAGATGGTGGTAGTGATAGTAATGTGATTGTATTAAGTAAACTATAGTTTAGAAAATATTTTTCTCTTTTTAAAAGTAAAAATATATTCAGTTCAAATAAACTTATTTTTTTGTTAATTATTGAAAAATATTTTATGTTAATTTTTGTGTTTATACCAAAAGTCAAAAAATGCCGCCCAAACAAATGGAGTGTTAGTTGAAAATTTAATGAATTTAAAAAAATGCTTAAGCGCTTCATACTTATATAATAAGTTAATCTCAAATAAGTATTTAACAAGTCAAACTGAATCAAACTTGAATAGCTTAGGGTTGATTTGGGGTGTCTTAAAAAAATGTACTTTTTGTTTTTTTACGAAATGATGTGCAGAAAAGTAGAGAGGTGATGTGATAGAAAAAAGGTAAAAAGATAAAAAGATGGATTATATAGTTCATGCCAAACCAACCCTTAATCTTTTTTATAACATATAAAAGTTTATCGAATCAAGTGAGAAGATGTTTACATTTAATTTGAAATTTTACCAAGTTTTAAAATGTGTCAAAATTAACTTCTTTTCTCTAACTTTAGCTTTTTATACTTAGGGATTGTTTGAGGTGTCCTAAATAAGTGTACTTTTTATCTTTTTGGACTAAAAAGTTGAGGAAAAAAATATGGATGTTTGGATTAATTTTTTGACTTTTTATGAAAAAATGTATATTAAAAAATTGTATAAAAAAATGTGTAAGAGAAGATTAGAGATTTGTGTTGTACAGCCGTACAATCTATTTGGAGAGATGCCAAACTTGACCTTAAAGGTGTATAGTAACGGTTCCAAAGCCTACTAGGGGTGGATTGCTTGGCTCCATAACTTTGCAATCTCAGCCAAAAATCATATTTACGTTGTGTTTAATTAAGAAATTTAAAAATAAATTTGGAATAAAAAAAAAAAAAAAGCGTGTGAAATTAAGTGAGATATGTATATATATATATATTTATTCATATTTCATATATATTTTTCTTTTCCTTTTTAAATTTCTTTCCAAATCTCTCAATCAAACATAGTATTAATGACTCAAACACGAAACTTGGACTTTTCTTATAATTTAAAGAGTAGTATTTTATTAAAAAATAAACCATTGCAAAGATATGAAGGAAAGAATGAGTAGACATTAATTAACAATACCACTTTTTAGTTCACTAGTTCACCTAAAATCAATTTATATTTATATTTGTCTTCGTGATGGTCGGTCTACTGTTTGATGTTAATCCGCAAAGCTCACTAGGATGGATTGTTTAAACTAGGGTTTTAAATCTTGGTAATACCGTATTCTATCGTTTTTTATATATGAAGATTGTGAATTTTTTATACTGTTATATGGCTAATATTATCCAACATATGATTCTATTGCCAGTATCAACACATATCTCACTATAATATATAAGAGTTTTATAAACTAAATATTTTCATTTTTAAATGTGAATTTTTTGTTACAAAAGATATTTAAGAACCAATTTTTATGGTCATAAGGATAATCACTAAAAAGTCGTATCGAAAAGCAAAAACAAGGTCTTTTAGTGGTAAAATTTTAAAAATGTCACTAATAAATAGATTTTTAGAGACAATATAGTTTAGTCTCAAATGGTTTTTTTTTTGGGAGATGCACCAATAAATCCCAAATTAATAACTTATGCACTGTTTAGTCTTAAAAGTTTTCTTATAGACTGAAAGGTCCCATTACAATGTTAATAACATCAGATACAATGTTAATAACATCATAATCATGTTACAAACATTGGATTTCAAACATCTAATGTTCATCAAATTTCAATAATGTTTGAAAATATAGGATGAAAAACATCTAGTGTTCATCAGATTTCAATAAATTTTGAAATTATAGAATGAAACATCAGATCATTTACATCATTCACATCATGTTGATGTAAAAATGGGACTAAATGGAGCATAAGAAAACTTTTAGGACTAAATGGTTCAACGTTTCAAAAACTAGGACTTATGGGTAAATTTTCCTATAAGCGAAATGTAGTTGTTTTGTCAAAAGTCTCCAAATATTTATTCCTAAATTCTCATAATTTTAAAACACTCTCTTTCCTACGTGGCAACCTTCTTTGATTGCCTTTCATGTTTTCTATTTTTCTTCATTTTTTATTTGTTTGATTAATTAAAATTGTTCACCCACTCATTACTTATGGATAAAGATTTGAATTTCAAAATTACCGCATATAGATAAGCATATAAAAATTGAAATTAATTTTATAGTCTACAGTTAAAGATAAAAATTAAGCTATTAATTTCATAACTTATAGATAATTTAAAACTTCTTCCCATAAATAAACATATAAAAGTTGATAAATAACTTATAAAAATTAATTTCATGGCCTACAAATAAAGATAAAGATTAAATGATTGATTTTTTTATAATAAAAAAAATTACTCTCTTTTTTTTTTCCCTCCTCATTTGGTAATTTAATTAATTTCATTATAGATAAACATATAAAAACTGAAAATTAATTTTATAAAATATTAGGTATCATGAAAAAAATATCATGAAATACATCATGAAGATATTTCATCTTTTGATTAGTGTTTGGTGTTTTATTGCATGTGTGATCCAAAGGTAGAGAATTTTTCATGATCTCATGATCCCTAGCATTAAATAGATTGAGACTTTGAGCATCAATCACCACACAGTATGCTTGCTTATATAATCGTATTGATAGATAGATAGATTTGTAATTTGTAATTTGCCTTTTACCTATTGGCTTAAAAAAAAAGAAAAGATTGCATTATGTTTGACTAATAAATTTGGACAGAGAGAAAATAAAACAGGTAAGTGAAGGTCGTTTGACCCAATCCTCAGCAAACAACTTCTTGAAGTGTTGGTAGACCTCTAGTTGAACCCTGCTAGGATCCTCATAAGACACGTCGTTAACTACTATAGAGCTGATCATGTTTCTACTGTGTCTGGTATTAGCAAAAACATGGAAGAATCTAGTATTCTTATCCCCATTTAGAGTCCAGTTCAATCTGGATTTTTGATGCCAAATCCACTCCACCATTCTGAGCAAATGCCACATTTCTCCTCTGACCACTCTTCTTCTTGACCTCCCAGAATCATCCAAGAGTCCATCCTCTGCTAGGATGTCTAATGTATGCAATTCCGCCTCTAGAGCCTTGAGTTTGGATGTGACATGTCCAAACACTTCAACATTCCATTTTTTTAACTCTGTCTTTAGCTGCTTTAATTTTTGAACAATTCTGAATCCGGCCCACCCTGTAACAGTAGTGCTGCTCCAAATGTTAACAAAGAACTTAGAGAAACTTGGATGGAGAGTCCAGGCATTGAGAAACTTGAAAGGCTTGGGACCCCAGTCTCTTTCATCTTCCATCAGCAGCAGAGGACAGTGATCAGAGACTAGTCGAGGCAGGCCCCATAACTTCAATCTGAAGCTAATCAACCATTCTGGGCTGAGGAGTACTCTGTCTATGCGGCTCCATTTCTCAGCTTCCTGGGCATTACACCAGGTGTATTTCCTACCATGAAGAGGTAAGTCATGGAGCTCACATTTCTCAATAAACTCATTAAAATGCTTCATCCCCATGTCTCTCCTGGAGCAGCCAATCCTCTCACCTATATGTCTAATTTCATTGAAGTCTCCACCCATACACCAAGGTGCAGGAAAGTGATCCTTAAGCTTGACTATACCCGCCCAAAAAGATGTTCTAGCAGAGGGGTTATTTGGTGCATATATGTTTATCAAAACACAATCAAAGGAATTATACAAAGAGCCAGAAAGTAGTATATACCTCCTATTGCAGCAGCAGCCAGATAATTGGAACACTGAAGGGTCCCAAATGCATAGAAGTCCACCAGCAGAGCCTACAGGATCCACAGACATGAAGTCCATATTTCTGCATCCCCAAAGCTTTCTAGCAACATTTTCAGAGTCCACAGCTTGCTTGGTTTCTTGGAAAAAAACAATGTCAACATGCTTGTCCTTTAGCAATCTTTTAATTCTTCCCTTCTTCTCAGGTTTGCCTAAACCCCTAATGTTCCAAGATAAGAGCTTCATAGATAAACAAAATGACAAGTTCAAGGCTCCCAAGAGCAGAAGCTTATTTTTGATTCTGCCCCTTAACAGTGATTCTGTCCTTATCTTTAAGCTCTAAATCAATTATCTTGCTCAACACAGTGGCATCTTTCCCATTGTATTTGATGCCTAAACTTTTCCCCAAGTGTATAGTGGCTTTGGCCTCCTCCAATAGTTCATTGTTCGAAGATGAGCTACCATCAGATAGATCGGATTGAGCAAAAGCAGAAGCTGCTGGACTAAAGATAACTGACTTAGAAGAGTGCTTGTGGGCTGCTGCTGCAGTTCTATAGCCGTGTAATCTAGCAAAGCTAGTAAATCCCTCTACATGAGTCTTCTTCTTCCCTTTTTTCTTTTCAGACTGCAGAGACTTTGTATTAAGGATAGGGGTTTTAGCTTTGGCCGAATGAATGAGATTCACGGGTAATAACCCAGCAGGTTTTGGCTTGGAAAGGGGACTAACAGAGTGCACATGGGCTACTATGCCGTTACTTAGAGGATTCAAATTGACAGAGTCAATGGGCTGGGGTGTAATTTCAGGGCCACTAGGAGAGTGGGCCAAGAAAACTTCCAAATTAATGCCAGGCCCAATGCTAGTAAGAGGTTCAATAGCCAAGTTTTCGTCCAAATAGATATCAGGACCAATACCGTTATTAAAATCATACCTGCTAATATGATCAGAAGAGAAAGCTTGCTGAGCACACCTCAACTTACCATCATTACTTTTTGAATTTAGCTCTGACCCATCCATCGAAAATCCCTCAACGCATGCTGCTTTGTCTCTGCTAGAACCACCTTTACAGGGGGTCTCCTCGACAACAGTTCCCACTTCTACAGCTATGTGACTGTCAGGAAGCTCCTTCCTCTACACAACCTCATTTGTGCAAGCCAGGTCAGCACCAATCAAGGCTCTTCTTTCTGCCGCCTCATCACCATCAATCTGCACCCCAGCCGCTGCTGCTGGAAGGTTCCTACCCTCATCACTGAAGCAGGTTTCTGTGGGGGTGGAGTCGTTCAAGCCGAAGGGCTTCAATCTACTAGAATCGGCTAGATGGTCTTCACAAACAAGTATGGGATGAGGATAGCCCTTACACTCTAGAGTAATAGTTTTGTTAATGAGCTCCATGCATACAGTAGCCACTCTAATCGTAGCATAATCGAAGGATTTTGGGTGACAAACGTCACCGTCTATGTTGAGAATAGTGCCCCAGATATTGCCAATGCTGTTAAGAGTAGCCCTACTCCAAAGATGCAAGGGAATACCATAGCATCTCAACCACACACACCGCTCTTGTTGCGGAGGATAATCTGGCCTCCATTCCATCACAGATTGGCTCCCGTCCTTGAACCACTCTTTGAGCTTGCCAATGTTTGATTGCAAATCACTTGTAGATTTAAAGGAGATAATTACATCTCTACCTCCTCCTTTTCTGACTTCTATCTGCTCCATCCCTTTCTCCTCTAGGACTTTGAGGATGTTGTGAGTAGACTGTTCATTGTTGAATCTAACAATAGCACTTTCGTACAGCCAACCATTGCCCTCTTCTTTGGCTTTTATGGTTATGTTTGTGTTTGTGTTGCCTTCCGCTGCAGAGGTGACACCCTTTAGGACTTCAGCAAAAGATCTGTGCCCAACCAGTGCGTCTTTACCCTTGAAATTGATCATATCCGAGAGTCTTCTGAGAGGCTGAAGTTTGTCCTTACTCTGTTCACTTCTACTATTTCTGTCATAAGCAGCCAGTTTGACCTCTAGTATAGAGTCATCCACCAAGAGCCCATTTCCTTTTTGGATTGCGACAGATGCTGCAATGCTACAGTTATACCACACAAACCCGAATCTTGAATTGGTCACTTTCCTTCTTTTGAAAGGAATGTAAGTATCCTTCACAATCCCGAATTTGATGAAGAGTTTGTACAGAGCTTTGGCGTCCATAGTTGACGGGATGTTGTCCACAAAGACAGTGATAAGACCATGCTGTGCTTCCTTATTTTGTGCTCCACCTCCATTCCATTGCCTTACTACCGGAATCCAGCCACCATCTCTTCCTCTGTTCACCATCCCTCGAGCTTTTTTTTTTAGAAAATAACACATATCTCACTATAATATATAAGAGTTTTATAAATTAAATATTTTGATTTTTAAATGTGAATTTTTTGTTACAAAAGATATTTAAGAACCAATTTTTATGATCATAAGGATAATCACTAAAAAGTCGTATCGAAAAGCAAAAACAAGGCCTTTTAGTGATAAAATTTTAAAAATGTCACTAATAAATAGATTTTTAGAGACAATATAGTTTAGTCTCAAATGGTTTTTTTTTTTAGACAAAAAATTTGGTCCTAGAAGGATAATAATTCATCACTACTGTCCAATTTTCGTTGCTAAAAATATAATAATGACATTTTTCGCAACAAAAATATTAGGTCCCTAAAAAATAATTTTATTCCTAAATTTTGGTCTTTAAAATCTTAAATTTTTGTTGTGTCTCGAACTACTATTTAAACCTATTGACTATGGTTATCAGAATCCCGATCTGGATCGTAGAATCTTATGATCCTATGATCTTAATTGGGCTAAACAATTCGAATCACACTAAGATCTTAAATTTAGTAGGATCTTAAAGTGATTATGATCCTATTCATAAAATCGTGTAAATCGCATATGATCCAAATTCTATTACGATTCCGATCTTACAATTTTTTTGTTATTATTTATTTCTTATATATATGTATGTGTATGTGTATATCTACATAAAAAATTTAATTACAAACTCCTTTTTCAATTGTCTCTTCTAACTTATATTAACATAAAAAGTGTATTATATCACATTTATCTTTTTAAAATTGTATAACATACATTATTATTATCCACAATTTTTCATTTTATTTTGCCTTATCCTCGATCTGATTCTACAATTCGATCACAAGTCTCTTCTAACGATCCCATTTAAGATCCCGAATTTGTTATTATTTATTTATTTATGGTGAACAAGGATCTCAATTTTAATTAACTTGCTATTGACCCCTAACCGAATAATACTAATCAATACCGGTTACAAAAGAAAGTAGTAAAATACATAAGGGTAATTAGTCAAGCTACGCAAGTTTTGTTTTTTTAATCACCCCAACAAACATTTATCAAACCCTCATTCTCATTGACCGAACCTCATCCATGAGACAAGCATGCTCTACTTATTCAAGATAATTAAGTCAGCGTCAAAGCTCTGTTTGTGCTGAGTAAAATGAAAACAAGAGTATGCAAAGTAAACCTATGAGCTTACCTTGTGACAAGTTAAATCGTGAAAAATGTTTGAAAAAATGTAAGTTACAAGTTCAAATCTCATTAAACACTTGACTCATTATCTCCTAACCCCATGTCTGATAATTACTTGATCTCTATGTAGGGATGATAAACAAATCAAAAAGTTTGAATTCAACTCGTGTTCGGCTCATTAAAAGTTCATTTGAATTCAGTTTGTTAAGTAAGTTAAACTTGAACACATTTTGAAGTTTGTTAAAGTTTTGAGACCAAACATAGTTAATTGCACAATTGACTTGGTTCGATAAGTCTAAAACCATATAAAAATACCAAACTACTTGAGCTTGACTCAATAAAGGCTCGTTTGAGATCATCTCAAAAGTTTAACAAATCAAACCTAAACAAATTTTGAAATTCATTAAAATTTTCAAACCAAACTTAAATAGTTAACTGTTTAACTCATTCTTCTTCATTCTTAAGGGAAGATCTCCATTATATATATTATCCAAAAAATTTGTAATAATTATTTTTAAATTTAAAATAATGTTAAATTTTCATAATTATTTCATAACTATTAAATAATATAATGGATATCTTTCATTACACCATCTAATGGAGATGATCGCTGTCGCTATAGAAGACCAAGAATGTAGGTGGACAAGGAATAGATGGATATGGGCAGTGTAATTCTGAGAAAATGATAAGGAATAGATGAATATGGGCAGTGTAACTCTGAAAAAATGATAACAAGTGTATCAATGGTCTCATATTTTTTAATTGGTGACTTCTTGTTTGTGACTTATATTTTGAGTCTTTGACCTCAAAAAGTTAGGTCAAGGTGATCCATTCACAATGGTCACACATTTGTATCATTCCCACCCATTTGTCAATGGGGAAGTTAAGAAAGGCAGTAGATATGCTAGGAGATTTCCTGCCTTGCTTACCTCATTCACTCTATATTAACAAGTTTACCATTTAAATGGGGTGGATTGAAAGTTGTTAAAATCGGGATTCTAAGTAGGATTATTGAGAGAGATTTGTGAATCGGATTGAGAATTATAAGATTCTACTTTCAATGTAAAAAAAAAAGAAGAGAGAAATTATTCGAAATGATAATGTATCTTAAATAATTTTAAAATAATTAAAGAAAGATGATAAATTTGATATAATACGTGTTTTATGTTAACATAAACATAAATTAGAGGAGATGTTTGAAAAAAAGAGTTTTTGTTAAATTTCTTATATAAATATAAACATATAAGAAATAAATAATAATATTTTTTTAGTAGGATCGGGATCGTAATGCAATTTTACCTAATTTAATGACTAGAATCGTAATCACTTTAAGATCCTACTGAATTTAAGATCCTAATATGATTTGGATCGTTCAATCCAAGTAGAATTGTACGATCCAGATCGAAATTTTGATAACTATGGGTGGATTATATGAAATGGTTTTAGTTATTCATCCTATTGGCAGTACTATATTCACATAAAATCTTCCCCAGCAAACCTCCTTAATGGGTCATTAATTTACTTTTTTTCTTGCCACATCATTCAAGGGGTTTGTGGAGGAGAAATTGCGTGGATAAAACATTTTTCTTATTCCGTTAAGGATCATATTGTCAATTAAATTAAAAATATTTTTATTTTTTTTAATACCATATCCTATATTAGCTTAGGAGTATAAATTTGGTTCGGCTTGGCCCACCTGGGCCCGGGC